TATGGTTAAATCTTTATCATTCTCTTCAAACAATTGATACTTTCGATTTTTTTAAATATTTTTTTTTTAAGTTTTAATTATGATTTGTTTTATATCGCAGATGACTCGAATAATTTTATTTAACAATTATTTATATTTTCACTATACTCTCTTTTGCATTTTTAATTGTAGATCTTTATCCTTCCATCTAAAGAATGTTCACAAAGTATCGACTTTTTAATTTTGTATCAATATTGTTATTTCTTTTTGTTATTCATGAATATATATGCTAATTATTCTTTGATTTATATAACAAACTTAAGACTCAACTTTACTCTATTATACTAATTATTATGTAAATAATTTAGTTGTATTATTTTGTAATAATTTCTTTTGAGAATAAATATAATATTATAATATCTACTTCTGGACTTTTCTCTTCTCTGCATAGCTTAATTTTAATGTAATAATTTTTGGGTGAATGAAAAGAAGAAAAAAATTTATATTGTTGCCACTTTTGTATTTTTATTATTTGAGAATTATGTGTTTGATTTAATTTATTTAGTTAATTATTGAAGAAGTTCAAAGGAAATCAAAAAGAATTTATGAATACAAAAAACGTGTTTCATTTGTCAATATTTTTTATTATGTAAAAAATGAGAATAATAACACTGACATATTTTTATATAGTCATGGAAAATGTTGTTTTAATTGTATTATAGAAAAATATTAATGTAAATTTAGTAATTGTCATAATAGATTATCTAATGGGTATTTTTTCTTATTTGCAATTGTTAGTTTAGTCAGAGTATGTAATATTTAATTTAAATAAGATTAAAATGATTGATATTAAATAAATTATTTCATTTTAAAAATATATATTATAAGGCTTAAGAGGTGAGAATGAAATATAAAAAACTAACAATTATGTAAGAAACAAAAGATAAATGATGATAATGATAATACTAATTACACTTATAAAGCATACTATAAGAGGTGAGAATGAATTATAAGAGTTCTAATATGATAGTGAATATAAATAAAATTATAGATGATAAATAAAATTGAAAGAATGACATAATAACAACTTATTGTTATATCAAGTTTAATTCTTGATTTTGACTAAAAAAACTAAATAAAATATTTTACTTTTGACTTTAAATCAAATTTGGTTAAGACTCATGCATAAAGTTTTATATGTTTTATATTGTAATTTTTATAGTAGTTGGTTTTTGGTACTTTTTCTTGAATATATTTCTTTTAATTTTATCAAAACATAAAAGCAAAAATATTACAATTGAATTATATTTAAAATTACTCATAATGACATATTTTGATATAGTCATGATACGTGTTATTCTAATTGAATTATAGAAAAATAGTAATGTAATTTTAGTAATTGTCATAATAGATTATCTAATAGGTATGCATTTGCATATTATAACAATACTCGTCCATTCTTTCTATATTTATGTTTATAGTTTTTTCTCTCTCTTTCTTATAGCATTATAACCAAAAAAAAAAAAAATTGTCGATTTTTTTGTTACATATCATTTTAATCATATTTTCTTTTTATATGAATAATAGGTATGATTTCTATTTTATTTTACACATCAATTGAATCTTATAAATTATATTATTTTTACTATTATTATTATTAAATTATTTTCATTATTATTTTAAAATTTTATTATTATTATTATTATTATTATTATTATTATTATTATTATTATTATTATTATTATTATTATTATTATTATTATTGTTATTAATATGATAATAATTATGAACTATCTTTAACTATTTTTTTAAATTACATAATTATTTATGATAAAAATTACAAAATAAATTTTAGTTGCAAGTTATAATCGATTTAGGTGTAAGTTATTAATCTCTGAATATTATTTTAAGAGTTACGTAATAATAGATTATTTAATTTATTATAATATATAAATAATATGTATTATGAATAATTAATTAATTTTGTTTAATGGATAAAAAATATTAAGACTAATCTACAATTGTTTTTATCATAAAAAATATATTTAAGAATCAAAATATCACTATTTAATAAAAGAAAATTAAAATAACTTCGCTAAAAAAATAATAACTCCAATTAATAAATTTTAAAATTGTCTATAAAATTATAGAAAATTCTCTTTAAAGTTTTATTTTAATTTTCAAAATATTTTTTCTTTAATTTAATTATAGAAGTGAAAGTAATTAATTTATAAAATAATTAACTCATAATAAATAATAATTTTCTATATCCTATGAAATAAACACTCCATTAACTCGGTCACAACATATTTCTTCCACTATAATAAACAAACAAAAAAATCATGAAAATATAAATAGAATTACTTAATTAACATAGGAACACCCAAGAAAAAATCAATATGGTAAGATATAACATGATTTAAAAAATAAAAAGATATCTAAAAAATATATAATTTAAGTTTTTTTTAAACTTGACATTGAATAAAAAAATTTCTTTGATTTTATTAATTATAGACTAAACACTAAAAGAATAATTAATTTTAAATTGATCTACTCTTATATGTATTATGAATTTAATAATTAATCATAAATATTATCAACAGATAGTTTAATATAACATTTTTTTTATAATATCGTATTATTCACGTAAATAAGACAATATTTCAAATTTAAAGAATATAATTAAAAATAATTTTATATAAAAATTATTAGAAGTTCTTATATTTTTATAATTTTGCTTATAGTTAATATAATTTTAAAGCACGTTTAAACATATGATATAATTTTTATATATAAATTATTAAGGTAAAAATTCTAATCAAACTCGTACAATGCACGGGCCATAGATCTGTTGGGGTTGGTTGAAAATATATATGTTGAAGAAGTTTTATATTGTTTATTTTTTGTAAAGAAAAAAGGAGTCTAAGACTATATATAAGATTCAAGTTTTTCTTTACAAGATGCACCAGTCAAAAGCATTTTAAACTTGTATTTAACTTTCTTTATTCTCTTAGGGTCTTGTATTAGAGTGTTGTGAGATTTAGTTAAATATTTATTTTGGAGGGTCTGGGTTAGTTGAGAGTATATTATGTGTTGTAACAATTTTCACATAGTATTATTCTCTGGATGTCTATTGACAAAGACCGTAGTTTTTTCTCTGGATTTGGAGTTTCCACGTTATATAATTGTGTTGTTATTTTGTTCCTCTTATTTGGTTTCAGAGCCGTGGTTCGACTTGGTGGGATGGAAGTTAGATCCGGTGTTGGATCCTGCAAGTGTAAGTCTCACATTGTCTATGAATGGATGAAATGTTGCATTTATAAGAGAGATGACTCAGTTACCTAACACCTTAAGGTTTTGAGTTGAGATGTGGCGTCTCCCTCTCTTGTGGTCCTAGAATATTATTCTCATCGGTGCTCCCAAATCTCCCAGATCCCCAACAAGTGGTCTCAGAGCTTTTGTCTATTGACAAGGACCGTGGTTTTTCCTATGCTTTTGGTGTTTCCATGTTATATCCTTGTGTTATTATTGTTGTTATTTTGTTCCTCTTTTTCTCTATGTTTTGTTATTTTTCCCAACAACTGGCATCAAAGCTTTTTGTTCGATTCAGGGATAAGTGTTCTTAGTATGCTCTATGGTTGAAGCTTTGTCTGATCTTCCATATCAGAAAAGAAGAGTATTGTTGTGAAATAGTTATTGAGTCGCGGCCACAGGTTACGCTGTGCAGTTTGGACTAGAGAAAATTGATGGAAGAATTGTTTTTGACTTGTAGAAAGTTAGAGTCAAAGATGTGTTACAAAATGAAGATTACACAAGGTGTAAGATTATGTCGGTGGTTGAAGAGCTTATCAACATGGAAGTTTCAATCTGATTTTCGACATGTGAAAATTCTTGAAGAGGTGTAGCATCAAGTGAACTATACTCTTCTTTAGGTGGAGTGTGATAGTCTTTAAAACTATAATTGTCGGTGAAGACAATATGAAATTTTTTAGAGTGGTGTAACTTCAAGTGAATATATTCTTTATGATTGAGTATGATTGTCATTGAAGACAATGTAAGCTTATGTATTATTTTCAATAAAGGTGAAGATGGTTAGGGTTGATTGAAAATATACATGTTGAAGAAGTCCCACATTGCTTATTTTTGTAAAGAAAAAGGGAGTCCAAGGCTATATATAGGATACAAGTTTTTCTTTACAAGATGCAACAGTTAAAAACACTTTAAGTTTGTGTTTGCCTTTCTTTGTTTTCTTATGCTCTTGTATTAGAATATTGTGAGATGTAGTTAAATATTTGTTTTGGAGAGTATGAATGTATTGGGGTCTGAGTTAGTTGAGGGTATTATGTGTTGTAACAATTTTTACATAATGTTATTCTTTAGTTATCTATTGACAACGACCATGGTTTTTTTTTTTCAGTTTTGAAGTTTCCACATTACATCCTTATGTTGTTATTTTGTTCCTTTTTTTCTCTATGTTTTAGTTTTTTTTTCCAACAAGATCTAGTTAAAAGAAAAAAAATTGATGATGGAGTAAATATTAATTCAGAACACACACCTAAAAATGTTAAAAATAATATTTTTTATTAAGAATGTGATTTGTGGTACTAAACTTCTAATTTTTAGTGAGAAGCACTTAATGAACATGGTCGAAATTGTTTGATGCAGTCGCAAACGTAATTTAAATTAACATCGCACTTGTGACTTAACACAGTTGCAAAAAAATACTATTTGGTAAGACATTCAACTTTTTCGAAACTTTGAGGGGTGCATTTAAGTTTTAACACGTCTACCTAAGTTAACCTACGTTGCTTAGACAGATTAATATTAAAGAAGAGATTTGTTCTTTTCCGCCACTTACTCAATTTAAAAAAAAACAACCAAATTGATTACAAATATATTAACGTTTATAACATTGTTGTATGTAAGGAGTATGACAGCGGTCCCAATTTATTCTGCTCAATAGTAATTGTTGTTCAATGCGAATTAAATGAGCTTATTTTAGGAGTCTATTGTGAGTTGCACTAGTTTATAGGATATTGAGCAAGTTCTTTGATACTAATTGGATGGGTTGTCTCTGGACTAATAGAACTATCATAGGAAGTTAATGCAGTGTACTTGTTAAATGCTGCCGATGGATGAATTGCGTCATAAAAAACATGGTCATCTCTATTAGGACACGGTATTAAATCAGGAACACACATCCCATCAGGCCTTGTTTGACAACAAGGAGCATTTGTAACTGTAAATGCTGAAACACAAAACATTTATAATTAAGAATCTAAATCATAGACAATTTCAATTGCTATGTTATAAACCAAGATTATGAGATTATAATAATTGAAATGTTTACCTGGTGTGCTTTCTACTGGGCCAGCAGTACTATTTACAAAGATAAACTTGGAATCATGAAGTTTGCCATTGAATTTATCCACTAGAGATCTAAGCTTCTCACTAAATATTAAAGAAGCAGCATTTTGGCTTTCAACACATAATCCATTATTCCCATTCTTAGCAATGGTATTTGGAAGGCAACCTAATAGGCCCAACCCAACTAGTATGTATTTTCTTGCCCCAAGAATATACAATTCCTGTTAACCAAAATTTTGAATTTGTATATTTAAGAAACAATTTATATAATTACAAAATAATCTTGATAAAGTTTTAGGCAATGTACCTTCATATCAAGAGAATATTGTTTGATAAGAACTTCAGCATACTGTTCAGGGTTATAAATGCGACTTGTCGGGTATATTTTGGGCATGAAGTAGTTGTTTAGGTAATCGTTGCTGCCAATATTTACATAATATAAGCACTTCTTCAAATATTCTTTAGCTTTAGACTCACCTCCAAGCTCTTTGATTATTTTGGAAACTATAGTCTTGTGATTTTTTATCTGTTGTCTTAAGGGGATTATATCACCCTGCATTAATTGGAAAACATTAGTTAAGTAATAATTTAAAACTATTTTAAAATAATTAAATATAAAAAAGACATAATATGTTAATAAAAAATAAAATATATACCAATTGTTTGCCAGACTCATTGCGAATTCCAGCTGCGCCCGATGCATAATTAACACCCTTACGTATGTCTGAGTCACCAAGGTTTGCGAAAGGTGGGATGAAATCCTCGACTTCAAGTAATTCACCTATAATGTAACATGATTTTTCAATTGTGACTAATTTTACCTGTAGAATTAATTGTGGATATATTTGAATGGTGTGGATAATATTACCTATATAATCAATTGTTGTAAGTCCATTGGTAAATCGTCCGGTTGCACCAGATGGAAAGTCGATGCCATATGGATTGTAATTAGCTTTTGCTTGGGTATCAAGATTGTTGTTGTTCCCATTGTCAGAGATGGAGTCACTAAATACATAAATGCATTTCACTTGAGGTGATTCTCCGTGGGCACAAGAACGTTGCATATAGCATGCAGCCAATAGAAAAAGATGCAAAATCAACCATTTTTCAGTCAAACAAGTCATATTATTAGGAACTGGAAATGTAAATTTATATTGAAGTATTGTTAATGAGTATGTAAATAAGAAGATGGAGGGAGAATTTATAGGGTATGTGTCCCCAAATTTGTGAAAACAATGTATTAATGAAAGATCAATGACGGGTTTGGCAAGTAATAAAATCTGAAAGTCCACAATTGATTTAAATTTTGAACCTAGGATCTTTAAATAGTAAAAAATTAAATTATGCTACCAACCGAAGAAAAATAAGTAATTCCATTAACTTTGAAATCACGTTACAAGTTTGCATGTATTTTTCCGTAAAATTGCTATGAGATATGAGAATATATCACTGTTAGTTTTAGAATAACATTTAGCTGGAAGAGATAATTATTCATTCACAAAATAGGACTTATAAATAGCCTTACAAGCAGAATACAATTTACTGCTAACAAATTTGAAACGTGGTAATAACCAAACAGAAACAAACTCTATTCTTCCTAAAGAATAGGTCTTTCCTAAAAACTAAGAATTGCTAAACAAACAAAAGTACAGCTAATAGTTTAATAATAATAATAATAATAATAATAATAATAATAATAATAATAATAATAATAATAATAATTGTTCTGGACTGGGCCCGACAGGCCCAAAAGCATTACTAAGGCCCAGTCCAAAGGGACTCACTATGGACCACACTGGGCAAAGGGGGTCACGTTCACGCCCGACATCCGGAAGTCCACCTCGGCATCTCGGTGTCTAGTCCCACGCGACGAAGTCATGCTCGACAGACTGCCGTCCAGCTCTGTATCCTGGCTTCCAGCTCGACATTCGCCGTCCAGCTCGAGGTCTTGGCGTCGAGCTCAGCATCATGCTGCGCAGCCCGACACGGACTCGAGCTACCTTCCTAGGGCAGACTCAGTCACCATTGCCCCAACGATACTCCGTAAAGACCGCGTCTCTGTCCGCCCGAACTTCACGCAGCACCTCCAGGAAGGGGACCACGTGCTGGTCCCCACTACCCACGTAGAACCTGGCAGTTCCTCCATTGGGCCAAATCCACCCGGCCCAATGAAGGAACCTTGGCCCAGCGCCGGGGGCTATAAATACCCTCTGTTTCCAGAGGGTCAGGTATTGATCATTCTAACCTCAACTCTATTATCTGCTAGTACTCCCACTGACTTAAGCATCGGAGTGCCTTGCAGGTACCCCCCCCTCCTCGTTCAAAAAGCCTTCAGCTCGGAGCAGCCGTGACGGTCCAAACCTTCTGATCAGGTCAGATCAATAATAATAATAATAAACTTCCTAACAATCCTTCCCTTAAGCTAATTCATCCAAACTTAGCTTACTTCAGCAATGTCCGTAACTCCAAGCATCCCACGAAGCTTTTCAAATTGTTCCAATTTCAATGACTTTGTCATAATGTCCGCTGTTTGATTCTCAGAGGCACAATAACTCAGCTTGATAACTCCATTGTTTGCTAAGTCCCTAAGAAAGTGGAATTTCACATCAATATGTTTACTTTTTCCATGAAACACAAGATTTTTGGATAGTTGTATAGTAGAACTATTGTCGCACATGATCATAGTTTCTGTTTTATTTTCAACTTCAATCTTTTCCAACACCCTTCTAAGCCAAACACCGCACATAAAGCTGCTGCTATGTATTCCGCCTCCGTGGTGGAGAGAGCGACAACCGGCTGTTTCTTTGAGGCCCAAGAAATAGCTCCCGCTCCCAATTTAAACACAAATCTAGAAGTGCTTTTTTGATCATCTAAGTCACTGGCATAATCACTTCCTGTAAAAGATATCCAGATTAATTATGCCTTTTAGGTACCTTAAAATCTTCTTTGCTGCCAGCCAATGTGCCATAGTAGGTCTAGCCATGAACCTGCTTATTAAACTAACACCAAATATCATGTCAGGTCTAGTTACAATCAAATACATAAGGCTTCCAACCACTTACTTATACAAAGTTTCATCAACGACGACACCTCCCTCGTCTTTGCGTAATTTTGTACCCGGTACAGTGGAACTTTTCACAGCATTACTGTCTTCCATACTAAATCTAGCTAAAACCTCCTTTGCATATCTTCTTTGACAAATGAATATTCCACCTGCACATTGCTTCACTTCTACTCCAAGAAAATGCTTCATTTTCCCCAAATCAGACATATCAAACTCCGACATCATTGAATTTTTAAACTCATCACACATGCTTCTATCATTCCCGGTAAAAATTAAATCATCAACATAAAGGCTTACAATTAAGAGTTTACCTCCTTTTGATTTTGTAAATAGAGTATGCTCGCTAGAACATCTTTCGAATTCTTCTCGTATGAAATAAGCTTCGATTCTGCTGTACCAAGCTCGCGGTGCTTGCTTGAGCCCATATAATGCCTTTTTTAGTTTGTAGACTTTCTCTTCTTCTCCTTTCTTTACAAACCCCGCGGGTTGCTCAACATAGACTTCTTCTTTTAGCTCACCATGATGAAAAGTGCTTTTTACATCAAGTTGAAAGACCTCCCAACTAAATTGTGCAACTATTGCAAGAATTACACGGATAGTGTCGAGTCTTGCCACCAGAGCAAATACCTCAGTATAATAAATACCATGGCGTTGTGCATACCCTTTTGCTACGAGCCTCCCTTTGAACTTCTCCACAATACCATCTTCATTAAACTTTGTTTTAAATACCCAATTGACTCCAATAGGTTTGATATCTTTAGGAATCACATTAAGTTCCCAAGTTTGGTTCCTTTCATTGGATTCAATTTCCGTTGACATTGCTTCCCTCCAGTTCTTGCATTTTACTGCTTCTTCAAACGTTGTAGGGTCATTGTCAGTTACCATCATCATTGCATTCAGATTTTCATCATCAGAAAGACCTTCCCCTGTTTCATAATTTGTCATCCATATTGGTTCTCTTCTTACTCGCATGCCCCTCCCTTCAACTAAATCGTTATCATCAGAATTTGGCTCATTTGGGGGTGAAATTGTCAGACTACTTGATTTGTTGGAGTTGCTGTTAGAGATGCTGGAATTGCTGAAATTTCCAGAACTGCCACTCAAGTTATTTGGGCTTGTTTCACAAAGTTCTTCATTTTGATCCGCCACAATATCTCCTCCATCTTCACACTCTAGTATATCTCGCTTTATTTCTTCAACAGATCTGCCCCAATCCCAACCTTTTTCTTCTTCAAAAACAACATTCTTGCTGACAATAATTTTCTTTGAGATTGGATCATACAACCTCCATACTTTTGATTCATCGCTCACTCCTAGAAGAACACATCTTCTGCTTTTGTCATCTAATTTGCTCTTATTTTGATCTGGTATATGAACATGTGCCACACATCCGAAAACTCGGAAGTAATCTACCATTGGTTTTTCATTTCTCCATGCCTCTCCTGGGGTCTTATCTTCAACCGTTGCTGTCGGCATCGATTCAGAATATGAACGCACCATTTTGCAGCCTCGGACCAGAAAGTATTGGGAACTTTTCTTTCATTTAGCATGGATCAGACAACATTCATAATTGTCCGATTTTTTCTCTCGGCAACTCCGTTCTGCTGCGGTGTATAGGCTGCTGTCAATTGCCTACTAATGCCCTGTGATTCACAGAATTCTCCAAACTCATTTGAGGTGAACTCGCCACCTCTATCAGTCCTCAAACATGTTATGCATGCACCTATCTCTTTCTCAACATTAGCTTTAAAATGTTTGAAAGTAATAAAAGCTTCTGATTTTTCATGTAAGAAATAAATCCAAGTTTTACGAGAATAATCATCGATAAAACTTAGAATGTACCTCTTTCCACTGTGGGATGCTGGCTTGATAGGGCCACATATATCTGAATGTACTAGTTGGAGCTGTTTTGATGCCTTCCACAAACTCTTCCTTGGCATTGTATCTCTGTGTTGTTTTCCAGTTAGGCAGGTTGTACATAACTCATTAGGAGATTTGAGAACAGGTAAGCTAATCACCATCTTTTTGAAGGCTAGTGTTCTTAATCCCTTGTGATTCAGGTGCCCAAATCAATTGTGCCACATGCACGCCTCTTTCTCTGATACATCTTCAGTTTGCAAACACATGGAATTTCTCTGTGGCATATAAGCTAACACAAAAAACATTCTGTTTCCACTCATATTGATTTGCATAATTAGTCCCCTCTTAGAATGATACACTTTACAAGTTCCATCCCGAATTAAAATGGTTAGTCCTTTCTCTTGAAGCTGCCCTATACTTAATAGATTGTTTTTAAGCTCAAGAATATAATAGACATCAGATATTACCTGGATTATGCCATTTATTTGCACCTTTATACTCTCTTTTGCTACTACCGCCATTCTCGTATCATTTCCAAGCTTCACTGTTCGATTGAAATTTTCTTCCAATTCAAAGAACCATTCTTTGTTTCCCTTCATGTGGTTGCTGCAGCCTGAATCTAGGAACCATATCTCTTCTTTCTTTTCTTGATGAATATCTGCATATGACATCAACAAAAGTTCTTCTTCTTCTAATTCATCATAGTTAGCTTTCTTTTCCCAGTCAGGACATTCATATTGGAAATGTCCTAATTTGTGGCATTTGAAACATTCAATAACTGCTTTGTTCATGGGTTGTCTCCCTCTACCTCTACCACGTCCTCCTCTGAACATGCCTCGACCTCTACCACTGTTTGATCGATCATCATGGGCCACTTTTAAAACATGTTCCTCCTCTTGGTATCCTTGCATTCTTTGTTCATGAACTAGTAAACTTCCATGTAATTCATCAATACTCAGAGTACTTAGATCATTTGATTCTTTTATTGAAAACACAACATAGTTAAATTTGATAGTTAAAGATCTAAGTATCTTACTGACCACCATACTTTGCTCCATTGTCTCACCATTTGACTTCATTTTGTTCACTAAGGTCAAGGTTCGCCCCAAAAAAGTGTCTACTTTCTCTCCTTCTTTCATGGCCAGCAACTCGAACTCCCTTCTTAATGCTTGCAGTTGTGCCCTTTTCACCTTTATAGAC